CTAATTTCCTAAATGATGGATAAATCCTACATGATCCTTGAGGCTTAAAACTTGATTGTGCCTGAATACAATTGATGAGCTAAATTTACTCTAACAAGAGAATTAGTCAATTCAAATAATATAATGATGAAAATAAAGTATTATTCTACAGAGACTGCAGGTTAATTAAGTACCAAAAATAACTAATTTTAATTTTATTTGATCAATTGAAATTAAATGATTTGAATAAAATAATTAACTAAAACAATTACGGAAAAACTAAATTAACTTTGAGTAACATCAAAAGTTAAAATTCTAAAGCATTTAATTTTACCATAATCAACTAATATAGAATTTAGATTAATATATTTTCAAGATATTTATTATGTGATAATGGGATTTTTTATCTTATTTGAAATATTTTTTCAAGTTATATCAAACATATCTTCATTTATTATTCCATTATAAATCCATTATATCTCTATGTGAATTTAAATAGATAATAGTGCATTATATTCTATGAAATTCTTTAATTTACGTAAAAAATTAAGTTCACTTATCACTAATTCTATACGAATTAAGTTGGTCTCTCTGGTTTTCATTCAATTCATGGTATATATTACTAGAAGTTATTGCATAAAGTTTATTATCGGTCTCAATTATGCTCTTCAAATCAATTTTAATGATGATCAATCATTAAAAAATATTAAGAATAATAATATATACTCTATATAAAATAATAACCTTAAAAGTATAAAAATCATAAAGCACTAGAATAAATTGATCAAGATACATCATAATCTTAGATGGGTAAATTAGTTTATAATTAAAGGAAAGAAAATCAACAATCTTATGATAAATATACAGAATATCTAATATCATAGAATAAAATTTAAAGATAAGTAAAATCAATTTAAGGCTATAAAATCATTTCAAGCATTAATCTTGTTTTATTGTTGAATCTCTCAGTCGTCTCTCTCTTGGTCTCTTCTACAAAGTCCTAAAACTGATTTTTGAATGGGTATTTATAAAGTTTAAGAAACTCTACAGAAAACAAGTAGGACGTGGCACAGAATAGGAAACTTAATTTTGGACGTTGAACGCATGCTGCTGACTCCCTAAATTACATGTCGGCACAAAACAGGAAACAGAAACTCTAATTCTGGATGCTTGACACATGGTGCTGACACTCCAATTATGTGTCGACACCACGACCGTGTCGGGTTGCTGGTCTCTTTTTGTAATTCTTCAATGGTAAAATTGTAGATCTGATCCTCCAGATTTTGTACAATGAGCACTTAGATTCGAAAACTTAAGATTCATTCATTTAAGTCCCAAAAAGGCATCTTTTTTCTTGCAAGTCAGTCCCACAACTTTCAAAAGATATTCAATTAATCTCAAAAACTCCTGTTATTCTGCATTCAAGTTTTTTTCTGCACAAAACATGGAAATAATGTGAAATATATTGAAAATCACATATTATCCTTGCAAATAGTAATAAAATCAAGACTAATACAATAGATTAAACCATATGAGAACGCTTCTTATCAACAATCAAATACCCATTCATAAATGTAAAGCACGTTGGATGGTTCCTGAAATGTTTATGCATGCTTTCTGAACCATTCTAATTAATTTGTAATACACTGCCCGTCTCTCTCTTTAGAGCCACTTCTGTTTAGCCTTATAGACAAGTATATGTTTTGCATTGCTAACTGATATACGTATTTAAAACCTTACGTCTCAGTAATGATCTTGTTCAAATCCATTAATCTCTTTAACAATAAGTGTGATGCATAATTTTGCTGTACTTTGGGCAATATTGTCTTTGGGAGTTGGGAGCTTGTGATTTCTTCAAAGTAACGATCATGTTTCCTACATGTAACAGGGCAACAGGCATGCAAATGTGCTGAGCCCAGAGCTAGTAACCTCACTGAAGCAGCTGAATGAACGGGTGGTTCAGATAAGCCTTACAAACTCAATATACTGGAATGCCCACACCCTCGCGGTCACAGAATCAGGAAAATTATACGCATTTGGTGCGGGAGACAAAGGGCAGCTAGGCATAGAGTTAGTTAACAATCAAACAGAAAGGGGGAACCCAGAGCGGGTTGATATCGATCTCAGTTAGCAATTTAATTTCTCCCCCTTTTCATCATCTCTAATCCATCAAGCTACACACATTGCGTTTGGTTTTTAGGTTTCCTTGTCTATTTTGTAAATAGAAGTAAACAAAACAATTGGGAAGATTTAAGTTAGATAGCAAAGGCCAACATGGTTTGATATATAAGAAAAATGGCTAGAACAGAGGCCTTCAATATGTTAATAGTTGAAATGGGAAACATCATTTGTTAAGGTTTCATTTATTACTAAGTTTGTCCTAATTGCATTCTTAAGCTCATTCATTCTCCAAGTTTTTGGACCAGGTCATATGCTAGCCCAACTGTTAACAACTGGTGGGCCTACATCTTATGTTGATGATGACTACATAATGTCCTATATTTTTTGCCTAACCCATTTTAGGGGCCCATTCTTGGTGAAACTCTTAAGCAATGGATTTTGAAATTTCATGTTCAATTGCCAGGGTTTTCTGAGAGGACATTATGCAATGGTTTTTGAAAGAAAACAAAATAAAAAGTAGAGTTTGTGGATTGCAGTTCAGGCTGCAAAACCAAAACCACAACCACTGGATGAGAGGGACAGGCCGAACGGCTCCCATATTCAAGGGCTCAACTCCCATCCAATGGTTTATTTTGCAATCCGGACTTTACCTACCGCACAACACATTTTTATGAGTAATTTGGTAGTGCTGATTTGGTAAACTTCTATAATTACAAGGGATGCGCATTTGCAGGTTTTCACTACAAAATTTCAAGGGCATTCGTGAACTGAATGCTGGGGGTGTCATTGTTTGTATAATTTGTTTTGTTTGGACGTCAATGCAAACAAAACCTCTTATGATTAAGCCCACTCTACCTGGAAACCCCTGTGGTTGTACTTTGTAGCCTGTAGTTTCTCTTAAAATCCCAAAGTTTCTCTTAAGATCACAACGATGAACAAGCCAAATTTGGCCCCTCACCCCAAACCCCATATTTGGGCTAATCCTAAATCCACTAATACTATCATTTCTCCTTTTCCCTTTTTTTTTTTTTTTTTTTGTTAATGGTTTATCACTTCTCTTTTCCTCTGCGTTCTCAATACCATCATGACTTGATATTTTCCCAAATGCATGTGAGGTTAGCGTTTGAGGCTCTAAATTAGGAGGCATGAATTCCAACTTGAGTAGATGACGAGGGATTTTAGGAATTCATTGAGCCTCATCCTATCTATTTAATGGCTAAATTAAATGAATCGTTAGATAGACCAATCCAAGGTCTTTATGTGCAAATATTCAAAAAATACAATTTCAAAGAGAATATCATGGAATGGAAGGAAGGGAGTCCACATAAATCATGATAGGAGCTTGAACATTGAAAAAAGGCCTCTTGCCTCTTGCCCAATAATTTGATTTCTTGTTTAAGAAATCAATTTTGTCTTCTGAAGAACAGACATATTACATCCGATCAAAATACACTTAGCAATTCTACTAATTTCTTGCTAAATTGACACATTTTGATTGAATAGGGATATTGATTCCTTAAATGTAAATGTTAAAAAATAATAATAATTCGCTCCTTGTCTTAGAGGGATTGGTAGTTATTTTTATGAATAATGATAGTTATGATTAATTGTTAAGACTAAAATTTAAGACAAATTTAGAGTAACTATTCATCACAAAGTGAACTTTATGTAAGTCTAGATGATCAATAATGGAAAATTTTTATCCTAAAATTTGCTGACAAGAATCATCACTCTATTTCTATTAACCCAGCACATGGTCCAATCATTAATAAGGATTTCAGTTCCTCCCCCAACATTATTATGAACAAGTGAGGTTAGGATTATGATAATCCCTTCCACTAGATATAAAAGATTATAAAAGATTATGAGTTTAAGATGTATCACATGTGGTAAGTAGAGTGGTTTAAAGGATGAGAAAATGTTGTTTCTCATT